TCTTTGGGGAGAAGATAACATTTGTGATCACCTTCAGAAATGACAGCATCTTCTCAGCTGGGGGTTAAGGGGGACGAACGGGAAACCTGAGGATGGGCCCTCGGGGAAACCAAGGCTGTTGTTACCGAGGGGAGGCCTCATCGCTCAGAAGTGGGGGCAGTGGCAGAAGAGGCTGGGGCATCCTGCCCATTGACACCCCCTCTCTGGGGCGCCTAATGCACTTCTCTGCCCAGCCTGGCACCTCCCACTGTGCTTGTAGCCTCCTTCCAGCCTCCTGGTGCCAACATTGAAGGGCAGAATCTGCCTTAGTTTTGCATCTTGCCCGCAACCTGACACCGGTGATTGCTCGCTGGCTGTTCAGGGTTTTGTGCATTCAGTCTGCCGTTGTGAAACGGTTCCATTAGCTGTCGCCTCACCAGATATTCTGAAGTGGGTGCGCTTAATTCCTTTGGGAAACCTCGGAGAGAAAGCCTGGGAGTGAAGTCACAGACCCCAGCATGGTTCTGGGGTCTGGACACTGAGCGTGTCTACAGCCCCGTGCTCAGCGTTGCCCATGCTTAATGTTGCCTGTGCTCGTTTGCGACCGCACCCTCAGTAATCGGCAGCTTGCCTCTCACAGATCCGGTTTCAGCCCAACGACCACAAGACGATCAAGGAAACCGCGGACGAGTTGAAGATATTCGAGGGCATCAAGCACCCCAACCTGGTGCGCTACTTTGGAGTGGAGCTGCACAGGGTAGGCGGCTTCGAGCACAGCGTGGCGCAGCCAGGGGGGCTGGGAGGCCTGTCTACATCACAGGCCTTCTCATTGCAGAGTCGCTTTCCTAGTTGCCAGGAAATCTCATGCGTTACCATGGCTGCCTTCTCTCTGACACGAGAGGAGTTCTTCCCGAAGTGTAAGTTGTAGCCTGTAGTGCACCCCACAGTAGACAGCGCAGGTTCTCCGAAAGGCCTCCCCGCTCCTTCCTCTCCTCCTCCGGCTGCAGCACTCAGGGCGTCGTTAGGCGGCAGCACTTCGTCCTGTGTGTGTGCTCAGGAGCCGCGTGAAGTGAGAGAAGTTGCAGCCGCGGTGTGGTTTCCTCCGTGTTTAGAAACAACACTGAGGGAGGAGTGGAGCATCGGGTGGATGAGGAGCCGGCAGGGAAGTTGGATGTTGGTGATTTTTGAGGTTTCACACTTAGATTCCTGTTTGAAGAGGATGCATTTCAGTACTTGCTCATGTAGGATCGGCCGCCCTGCTGGCTCCTGTCTGAGATTACATGGCGGCTTCATTTTGGGGGACGTGGACGTGTATCCCTGTGACTTGGAGGTGCGCTTCTCCCGAAGGGCCGTGCGATTCCAGACAGGCGCAGGCACTGCTGTCGGGGACGAGTTAGGGGCAGGACGACGAGCGTGCAGTCTATTAGACAGACATGCCTGTGGCACTGTCCGGCCTGTGCTGGGCGTGTGCCCACGCGCTGCGTTCGTTGCCGCAGGAGGAGATGTACATCTTCATGGAGTACTGCGACGAGGGCACGCTGGAGGAGGTGTCCCGGCTCGGCCTGCAGGAGCACGTCATCCGGCTCTACTCCAAGCAGATCACCGTGGCCATCAACGTGCTGCACGAGCACGGCATAGTGCACCGCGACATCAAAGGTAATCCTGGTGCCATGCCGGCCTGGCTTGGTATTTGAATGTCGCGAGTGCAGCGTGGCCGTGAGTCAGAAACGCTGAGCCGGTCGTGATGAGCAGCCCCGTGTGTGGCTACTTGCTGACTCGGGCAGCTCGTCCCGGCTTCGTCCAGGGAGCGCTGGGAGGGCTGACCGCTCACACTGGTGGATGTAATGCGTTCCCGGGCGCAGGGCAGCCATGCATCTGCCTCAGGGCATGTGCCTGGCACATCGTGGCCCTGACCTGTGTGTCTGGGCATCTTGGGGATAATAAAGCAACAAATCGCTTCTGTCTCTAATGGCCCTTGACTGAGGGTGGCATAGTCTGAGGCCAGTGTGAACACGCTCACTCCAGCGCTGGCTGACTCCCCCCCTGGTGTGGGTGAGGCACCCACGCTATGGTGCTGCTCTCCCTGCTCCCTGCACACGCGGTCTCCACCTGGCTCTGTGCCAGGTCCCGGCATTACCCGTTTCCAGTCGCGCCATAAATATCCTCAGCCTTTGCCCACTGTCAGGAAGTAGGACCTTCATGCCATTGGCAATGGCCATGTGCCGAATGGACCAGCTCCGCAATGACCGCATCAGCACGGGGCGGGGGTCATCCCCCACGGGGCCACCTGCACGGGGAGCACCCAGGCCACGAGGATTGGCTGAGACCGCAGCTCCTCGCACGGCTGCTTGTCTAACCCAAGTGGCTGCGTTGCTTTGCCAAGGTGGTGCCCCAGGACCCGGAGAGCAGAGATGCAGGCCCGAGTGGAGCGGTGAGACCTTGTAGCAAAGGCCCAGCGGCCTCAGGATGGGGGGCCCAACGGGAGACAGTTACACACGATCTTTTCCGTCACCGGCTAAGACCCGTGCAGTGTGGCTGCGTCAGGCCATGAGGACAGTGTGGGTGCAGCTCTTGTCTGCACATGGTTACCCGATCCAGGAGCTGCTGCTTGTGTACAACTCTCACTTTCAGGGCTGCCACCTCAGGCCTGTGTTCTCTCAGTAACGTCTCCAAGTAGCTCTGGGTTTTAGTGTTGGGATCTGTGCACGTATTTCAGCTCAGAAAGTATTGGTCACAGAATCTGCACTGGTGTTAAAACTGCTTTCCTTTGTGTTGATGATGTTTGTGAATAAAGCTTAAAACCCTTGTAGGCTTCCATTCTGTTCATCGTTTCCTAACCTTCTCTCACTTAGTTGGCAGTCTAGGTACCGTATCACCTGTAAAATTATTCTCCTTAGGTGCCAACATCTTCCTTACCTCCTCGGGGCTGATCAAGCTGGGAGACTTCGGGTGCTCGGTGAAGCTTAAAAACAACGCCCAGACCATGCCCGGGGAAGTGAACAGCACGCTGGGGACCGCAGGTGGGCCTGGCTGTTGTCTCTGCAGACTCCTCCCGCCTGGTGCTTGGGCACCGGGCCTTCCGTTGCCTCTGGTCCGCACTGACCTGGACAGCAGGTCGTGCTAACCCGCCGGACCCCGCCCGCAGACACCGGCCTCCTGAAAGCACTGTCAGGCGGAGAAGCCACGGTTCCCGGGAGTCAGAGGAGGGGGCCTTTTGCCCCTTCACACGGGCGTATTAAAAGTATTCTAGTCAAAACAACATTGCATTTCAATGGTAATTACTTGTTTTAATCATTTAGTATCACAAACTTCTGCATCCTCTGTTGCAGGTTAAATTTTATATTTTCATTGTGAATACAATTTATCTGAAAATGTATGCATTCAAAAACTCTTTCAGAAGATAATTCATCCCCTAAAAATGTCTATTCAAGAAATTGGTGTGAAATACCTATTTTCAAGTTTCCGTTTCCTAGTATGTAACTGGGGGAAGTTCCCCCTCCACATACTGTTGTTTTTTCCATGTGGAATGTATGAGGTTGCCTGGTTGATAAGCCATTCCTATCATCATGTCTGTGACTTTCACAGCGTACATGGCTCCTGAAGTCATCACTCGTGCGAAGGGAGAAGGTCACGGGCGTGCGGCCGACATCTGGAGCCTCGGGTGTGTCGTCATAGAGATGGTGACTGGCAAGGTAAGCAGAGCCCCCTGGAGGGGAAACTGCGGGGCACCTTGTTATGTTATCATTAGAAATACTGCTCTGGTCGAGTAGAGTAAGGTTAAGACAGGTGACGGCCAGGAATCAAATACAAGGTCTATCACTTAGAGAACTCTTAGAAGTGAACAAAAGCATAAAACCTGAGTTAGAACATGGAGAAGTAAGCAAATACAAAAAGAAACACCAAGTGGAAAACTCCTGTCCGCACAAAGCTGGCACATAAATCAACTTTATTCATAGCCGCCCAGGCTTAGAAGCAGCCAAGGCCCCGCCAGCAGGTAAGTGTATAAACACACTGGTGGTTGTGCAGCGGAATGCAATGCAGCGGTACAAATGCCCGGTCGCGCTGTGGAGCCTCCATAGCGGCTGGTGGTGCAGGCGGCCACCACGAAGGCCAAGGCCGCACCTCCCAGGCAGGAACCAGGGTGTGTGGGCGCAGGTGGCGAGGGCAGTGGGACTCCTGCGTGGTACTGTATCTGAAAACCCATCTTCTCGGGAAGATACGTTAATGAGCATTCACAAATGTATAAAGATAGTGTGTGTGTGTGGCATTATTTGTAAAACAAAAAAGTTAGAGACCTCTTAAGTGTTAATAGGAAATTAAATCACTGTACAGCTATACCTTGCAGCTGCTGAAAAAGACCACACAAAATGCTTAATAAATATTCGCTGATATTACTTCTGTTATCTTTAACATAAAAGATGGCCGTGCCCGGCCAGTGTGCTCAGTGGATTGAGCACGGTGGATTGTGCGTTGTCCCATGAACCAGGAGGTCATCAGTTGCTTCCCGATCAGGCCACATGCCCGAGTTATGGGCCTGAGTCCCAGTAGGGGGCGTGCAGGAGGCAGCTGATTGATATTTCTCTCAACAATGATTCTGTCTCTCCCTTCCTCTCTGAAGTCAATTTAAAATAAATGTTAAAAAATAAAGAAAAGCCCTAACCGGTTTGGCTCAGTGGATAGAGCATCAGCCTGCGACTCAAGGGTCCCAGGTTCGATTCCGGTCAAGGGCATGTACCCTGCGGGCACATCCCCAGTAGGGAGTGTGCAGGAGGCAGCTGATCGATGTTTCTCTCTCATCGATGTTTCTAACTCTCTATCCCTCTCCCTTCTTCTCTGTAAAAAATCAATAAAATACATTTTTAAAAAAATAAGGAAAAGAAATATGGCCATGATACCTGTTACGTTAGTCCAGCCATACATCAGAGAAAAAGGGAGTTCTCACATGTCACAATCAACGGTGTGACACAAATAGGGATGACATAACAGGCTTAATCGTTTCTCCCCTGAATCTCATTTTTCCTGAGACCGTAATAAAACAAGCTTTGCAGTAATAGCATTACCCGAGGCTCATTATTCAGCAAGGCAGCATATTAAAAACACCCCTAACGATAAGTGTTGAATCCTGGTTTATTGACATCTTCGTTTCACTTTATTGCATTTCTTACTCGATGATGCTGATGGACAGCACAGAGGCTGCTGCTGAGGTCAGGGAGGTGATGGCTGCTCTTGGGAGATGAGGTTTGGGGTGTGTGGGAGCACCTGCTTGGGGTTCAGTGCGGCCTCGGGTATTCGGAGCTGGCACCCGAGAGAAGGGGGACAGATGGTGCTGGGAGGGCGCTGAGGGCGGGAGGGAGCCCAGGAGGAAGCCTGGGAGGGCCTGCCCGCCAGGGAGCTTCTGATGCAGAGGGAGGTGCCTCGGTGCCCTCCTCCTCCTCGGGGTGAGTGAGGCTACAGACCCACAGGTGCCCTCCTGGGGGTGAGCGAGGCTACAGACCCATGGGTGCCCGGTGCACAAGGCTAAGGACCCACAGGTGCCCTCCTGGGGGTGAGCGAGGCTACGGAACCGGAGCGGGGCCTGCTGTTGGGCTTTGTAACTAAAGAATGTGCTGCTGCACTGAGACGTGTAGAACCGCCCGGCTGACCTGCTGCTGTAAGCGCGTCCTTCGGAGTGGTCAGTGTCAGTCCTGGAGCAGTGACAGCACCCCGGTCCCTGTGTCCGGAGCCCCCCTCACCAGGTGCTGCAGGGCACGGGGCGCGTCTGCCTGTGGTCTCGGAGCGCGCTGGGCTCAGCTCTCTCCTGCCTTCCTGCAGGTTTGCACCGATGAGGAATGACGCGAAGCCGCCGTGGCTGGTGTGCGCTCGGAAGACGTCATCGCTACTGTATGTAACATTTACATGAAGGCTGTGCTGGGAGAGCGCGGCCTCCCACCTCCGGGCTGGGCTGCCCCTGCGGCGTCGACCTGGCGCGGGGCCTCCTGAGTGACAGTGTCCACGAGGAAAGAAGCTCCATGTTAAGTGCCATTTCTACTGTACACGGACCGCCGCCTCGTCCCCGCTCTTCGGGACGGACCCGGACGTCTGTAGTGCGCTGACCGCCCTGGTTCCGAGCAGGTCGTGGTCCCCGGTCCTGGCCTGTTCTCGCCTGTCGAGTGCACTGACTGTGAACCTGCCCTATGGGCGGCGGCGGCCACAGGTCTGTCAGCAAAAGGCTGATGAATGAAATTGAAGAAAAAGGCTCTTTTTTCAATAAATGGTTTATTTTAGGAAAGCGCAGCTGCCTTATCTTTTCTAAGCTTGTCAGCCTCAGGGCCAGTGAGCCCTGGCACAGGGCTCGCTCTGCCCGTGTCCCTGGGCGGGCG